CCCCCCCCCCCCCCCCCAATTGAAACAAGGATTGACCTAATTTTTAGTACCATGTTCTTAAAAAAGCATAGCTTCGTAAAATTCGTAGACAAAAAACACACACAGAGAAGAAGAGAGAGAGAGAGAGAGGCCATTGTACCAAAAGCGAAGGATACACCGGAAATGGGGGTGCCATGAGACTTGTGAAGGGAGATGCGATTGTCTTCAACCTTCCAGAAGGTTCCATTACCGCTGTCTTCACTCTTCGCCGGTCTCACTCTCACTGCAACGCTCACCTTCTCCATTGCTCCTTGGCAGATTGCAGCAGGGAGGCTCACTGTCTGGTCTGATCTGTTTTCGGAGCGGGCTTTATTTCTAAACGTTTAAATTTGAAATTTTTACTAGGTAGCTTTTTACTCTTTTACCAAATCATACAGAGTATCATCAAATTGACATTGGAATCTAAGGGTGTCTTTGGTGAGCAAAAAAATTATGTGTTTTGATATCTCCAAATATCAAAATCCTTCAAATAGAATGTTTCAATATCTTCTGAATTTGGAAGATATCAATATGGGGGTTTGATATCTCTCAACCATTGGTCATTCTCCGTCACCCACTACCATTGTCACCACCAACCACCATCGTTGCTGATCACCCCGGCTTATCACTAATTAAATCATGATTTTAAATTTTTCTAAATAAATTTGTTTCAGGTATCAAAACCCACATTATTTTTACCAAATTTCATAACTCATACTCCTAAAATACATTGTTAAAAATTCACCAATCATGTCATTTTTTTATTTGTCATTTTTCCAAAATTCACCAAACGGCCTTAAATGTCATCTTTATGTTATACTCCATATATAAATACTTTTTTCATCTCAAAATGTTAAGCATCTAAGAAAATTTGTGCCAAATTTTGATTTTTAATTTCTCCTAAAATACATTGTTAAAAATCTACTTTCAATCATGAATACAACAATAAAAACATACTCTATACTGGAGTAATTTTTTTACTTCATACTCCATACTAATTTTTTTACTTTATACCTAAAATTACTTCATTGAGATACTGAGAGAGTATATACATTTCTTTTATTCTACACTAATTTTTTTATAAATTTAATTGATACGGAATAATGGTTTTAATTGATACAACAAAGTCCAACGACATAATAGTATCTCTCTCATATGAGAGATCACATGTTCAATCCTCAATGGGAGTAATAACTCTATGTACTTAATGGTTTGTATATGTATGAACATATACTACATTATAAAGAGTTATTAGTATTTAAATAAAAAAAGAAACAACGAAGTTCGAGGAAGAAACATCCTAGGAATCCCGATGCACTTCAACACGTCTAACGAGAGTGTGTGCTGCGACGATAGACAAACATAAGAAACTAGATGGAATCAAAAAAACCGGGAAAAAATAGAAAATCTAAAAAAACTATAAAAATTATTTAAGTTAATTTTTATATTGTTTTCATTCTAATTGTTGTTGTTATAATTTATTATTATTATTATTATTATTATTATTGTTATATTCATAATCATGTTATCTTAACCACTGCCTATAAGATAAAAAAGTATTGTCATTTTTCACACATAAAAATCTACTTTCACAAAAAAATTAATTAGAATATAAAGTTAGCATAAATATTAAATTGTTAAATTTAAAAAAGTTATAGTTGTTACGTTTCACCTCAATTTATTTATGAAATATTTATTATAAAAAAATATATTTGTAATTACACTTTATATATTACAATATTTTATTTTAAATATTAGAAGTGTCACAGAATATGATCAAATCTATTTTTTCTTTCATTGTAACTCTTATTTTGAAAATAAATATATAGAACTCATATTTGGTACGGAGTACTCCGTACATTTTTATGTTTTACTCATCGTTTAGTATTTTTCTCTAAAATATTTTGACTTCAAAATTTTTTATAAAAATTTGAAAAATGTTTTCCTCGTATCAATTTAGAAGAGTGTAAATCGTAAAAAGAGTAACATGGGAAAATTAAAAAATGAAATAGTTTACAAACTATAGTTATGAACATAACAGTTGTAATAATAATAAAGATGAAGATAATACTAATTATTATTATTATTATCACATTAAAATACATCATTTTTGGAGTAATTATTTGAGGAATAGAAAGAGTTTGAAAAAAAATGAGAATAGTTAAAAAAACTAAAAGGAATTGAAAGAACTGAAAAAAATTGAAAATTAAAAGTCTAACTCTAAAGAATAGGCTCTTAGAGCATCTACAAGGTATAGTGTAAAAATTGGTAGTGTAAACTTCAATTTACACTATCAATAGTGTTTTACATTTCAATTTTTATATACTTACTCCAACCATATCTTCTATATAATACACTTTTTATAATATTTTGTTCTTTTAAGTTACTTATTTTTAATGATTTTTTAAAAAAGATGTAATAAATACTTGTACATATGAAAATGGAGAAGAGGGAAGGAAAAAAATGAATAAAATTAATTTTTTATTCTTTCCATTATCTATAGTGAACTTGTAAAAATACACTTTGGAGATTGCTTTTTACACTACATTGCATTTTACCACTTGGTTTACCCTATCCATTGGAGTGTTGAAAAGGCAACATTAAATTGTATATAGTGTATATTTTACAATATAGACTACCCTTTGGAGTTGCTCTTAGTAGTCAAATAATATAATACAAATTGTTAAGTATTATTGGTATTGAAATTTGAGATGCCGAAAAACAAAGTCAATTCTTCGAGACAATTTCCAAAGATCGCTATTTCGATCTATGGGATTAGTCGATCAAAACGGCAAGGACACTCCAGGTTAATTAAAAACAAAAATATTATCAGTAATAATCTTCATTTTTGGTGGTCAAGTAAAAAATAGTATGCAAGTAATTGTGTTACCAAGCTTTGAAAATTGAAACTCAAGGAATAATTCCACCTTACATTATTTCTTATTTAATAATGAATATTTAATTCACAAGATTTCCGTCTCATCTAAAAAAATGTAACCACATATGAAGTAACTTAGATGCAACAAAGGCCTTATTTGGGAACTATATCTTTTTATTAGATTTAATGTTTTGGATAAAATTTAATGTTATCGATTAACTTTGAAAACGAAAAACCTATAAACATTGTCGTTAGATAGTCTTTTCAAAACGTTTAACTCTCATTTCTCCCAAGTAAGGTTGAGGATTGACATTAAGGATCCGTTCCGTTTAACTTATTTTTTCTGATCTGATCTGATTCTAATAATTTCTGATCTGATCTGGTCTGATTGGATCTGATCTGATCTGATCTGATCTGATCTGGTCTGATCTGATCTGGTCTGATCTGATTAATTATGATTTAATTTAAAATTTCAAATCAATAATTTAATTTGACTTTATAATAACGTTTGAAAATTGTAATGATAATTCATATTATAATATAATCAATTATTTTTATTTAATGATTATTTTTTAATAAAATAAAAATAGTTAATTCATATATTAGAATAATCATTCATATTATAATGCAATAATATTTTTTATTTTATGATAATTTTTTTGTAAAATTAGAATTATACATTAGAATAAATATTTAATTTAGATATACATTAAAAAGTAATTAAATTTAGAATCAATATATAGAAGAGATAGTATTTTTATTAAAATATCTCATCCTTATAAAAGATCAAAAGTTTAGAAACTCAAACTACAAGTAGCAATAAAAATATATTTTAAAAGTAGAATTAGATTGATATTGTCAATGTATTTTAAAACTAATTTTTCCGACGTCTAATAATTAAGGATTAATTTCTCAGTTTTCTATTTAACCTATTTCTAAAGTTTATTCTTTTTCATTTTTAAGAACAATAATAATAATAATAATAATAATAATAATAATAATAATAATAATAATAATAATAATAATGATGATGATGATGATCATAATAATAATAATAATAATAATAATATTGAACGGAACGGGGTCTAAGTAACCTTAATTTATTGAGTACGCAGTAATAAATAATACTCATACATGAGAAGTGTAATACTGTATACACAAGCAGATCACACCATCTTTATTCCTACAAATTCACCGGGGGACTTCCCTGCACAAAACAAAACAATGTCAATGAAAACTACCTGATGATCTCAATCCAATGAACACATAGTTTTGAGTCTTTTGACCAAATGAACTGCTTTCTGCAAACTATAGAATGGCATTGTATATTAGCAGAGATTAGAGAATAGAGATGACACCTTGAGGAGAAGATCATGAGAAATGTGCTCCCAGGGCAACGATACTGACATCAAGCAGCACTTTAGTGGGGTCATCTCCCCTTCTTCGTCTGAACTCCGTGCAGTTGCAGAAGCGGCAGCATAAGCATGCTTTGCTGCAACTGATGCAGCCGATGCTGCCCTTCGAACGACTGCACTGAAGCTTAGTCCTTTATTAGAGGAGTGTTGGCTGTATTCGTGTTTGCTTTGATCTGACAAACACAACACCACTAGATTCAAGAAAAGTTTGACTTTTCATTGGAATAAAAGATATTTGTGGTATCATGCTGTTTTTAGAACACAAATCATAGTTTGAATAATCTCAAATCCACTGGCACAAAAGAATTCTTGAAAGAAAAGGGGCATACAAGTCAAATGACTAGTACGGGGAAAGAAACTGTAATTTTGTTCTCAATAAGATGATCAAATCCAACGTGTAAAAGAAAGAAAATCTGGGATAATATAAATCAAGCAAAACAAAGTTCCAGTTTACCTACAACGCCAGAAACAGCTACTTCCACTTCCCCACGTCCTCCTGGGCCTTTCATGTAAATCCTGTCCGTTTTCCCTGATGAATGAAGTGAAAGAAGACTCCCAAATCCAGTCCTTCCAGCTAAATGTAGCATGCCAAACGAAAGATATCAAGCAAGTAATCAGTTGTTGCTTCATAGCTGGACGTCAAATTTAAAGAATAGTAGGCTGGAAATCGAATCAGGCAAGCAATAACGGTTCTTATTCACATCTGTTAACTTTTGCACATCAAATGGCTAATAGAAAGATGGGATAAGTTGTGCAAGCAGCCAACATCAAAGATTCCTCCAGAAGCAAGCTGGTAAGCTGAGTCAGCCTCGGGCAGAATGTGATATTTTAATAGAACAAATGCGCATATTTTTAATACGGAATACTATAATTTTGTGCATGTTGTATGTGAGTCAACAGGCACATCCAACACGTTATATGGATTGAGAATGAGCTCCGCAGTTCAGATGTTAAATTAGTTGCACAATCCATGATTCAGAACACCAAAAACATTATATGTTGTTCAACATAAAAACAGCATGTTTTACCATCATAGGCGTCTCGGACCATCTGATAGCTAACGAAACCCGAGAATAGAGTGATCTGGAATAAGAATTGCAAAACCATCAGGTTAGCAGACTAAGTTATCATGTAGTGTGCTAGAAATTTGCATGTTATAGGGCAAGATAAGTGGAATGTCAATGTCAGAGTACATGCGAGTGGGAAAACAAACAAACACCTTAAATGTGTTTTTGAAAATTAGGAAGAAAAAAAACCTATTCATTGATCAATTTTGCAAGCATAAATTGACACGGGAAAGGAAACTTGTTTTTAGAAGGCATGCATATATAGTTCTCTTTCAGATGACCTCCCTCTTTTCTCGCTGTAAAGAGAACTTAGAGGAGTGGAAGGTGGCAGTGGCAGTGATGATGATGATGATCATACAAGTGTTTTTTCAAACCTTTGAACTCTTAGTCTTTTCAGCACTTGCTTCGCTTTTTGGAGAATCACATATGTTACTCTGACCTTGAAGTTTCTTTTCAGTGGGAAATGCAGCCCCATCATGTGCATTTAGAACGACACAATAGCAATGATCTACATCTGTCAAAACCTAGAAAAGATGTTATTTAGAGGACTTCTAACCCAAAAGTCCTGATTGATAAAGGCTTAAAAAGTGCAAATGAACATATTTATATGTAATTCAAGAAACAGCCTCATATCATAGAATATGAACATAATGCTAAAGCTTAAATGCACTTATCAACATCAATAAGGGGAAATATGCAATGCAACCAACATATCTAGAAGCACCTCTTTGACCTCTTTTTATAGCATTCAATCAGCCAGTGTCCAAAGTTCGAAAAAGGAGAAGATAGCCTTTCAAAAAATAAAAAATAAAAGAGGAACTTGTGCATTACCACTGCATCAAATGTAGAATCAAAATCATCAACTGCAAAACATATATCTGGATATGCAGGAGCTGTTTCCACTTCCTGCAGTGTACATGTGATGTCAGAAAAGATTCACGGCACAATACATGGTGTGATCCTCATTAGCGAGACTTGCCTTTCTTGAGTCCAAATGAAAATTAATACGACTTGGAGATGCGTAAACAGTTTTCACAACCTACAGACAAATAAAAACATAATGAGGTTTGATAAATAACAAACTGAAAAATGAAGAATAGAAATTATTTTCTGTAGTTACCTTGTATATAGGAGACAACGGTTTGTCTTTGCCAGTTTGGTAAGTTTTAAGGGCCTCATGACTAAAAGAAAGAGAGAACAGACATTGTTACTAGGAGTCTAGGAGATGAACAAACATGTACAAGTTTTAGATTGAATAATGATAACGAAACAGATGTGGCAACTCAGGCACAAATTACACAATCAACCGAGTGTTGTGTTAGTTAAAAATAATACTAAAATATTAAGCCTATCAAATAGACGTGTAAAATAAACAATTAGAAGGAAAATAGGAGATCCAATAAGTGCCTATTCTTTTCAACTTTATATTCCAATTCTCCACATCCTAGAATCTAGACTCCAGAGTCCAGAATCCTGATTTCTTTAAAATTACTACTGCATCTAGACTCTAGATTTTTGTTAAAATTATTACTGCATCCAGACTTCAAGCTCCACGCTCCAAACTCTATGCACCAGGTTCAAGACTCTAGTAAGCTCAAGTTAAAATTAAGGCGAAAAGAACAAGCCCTAAATAGTTTCCCCTCTAGTTGAAGTACAATCTTGCTAGCTACGATGATCTACTCAAAAATATAAAGAAACATCATGTAGCTAAGAAGATGTCATCCTTTTTGAAACTTCAAATTACAGTATCAATAGAATCAAGAGAAAGAACATTGCCTGCAAATTGCTACAGTCACACTGAAAGTTGTATGAGCAATCAAGTTCAAGTAAAATGAGCGCCTCCAATCCACATTTACCAAGTTCTCACCAAGTAAATCGTCCAACTGCAAGGAAGTGAAGCCTATCGTCCTCAACTTTAACTCCAGAACTCATTTCTTGTTGAAATTCAGATAATATTAAGGACAAGCACCAAAACAGAAATGTTGTGTCAATGTGGTCAAGCAAACAGAAGGTTATTTATTATCTTGCCCATGTTGTTACATTACATGGTTAAATACTGTTATCACTTTTCTAAATAAAATTACACTTTTGAATGCTCTGAGCTTATCCAATCATCATTTACCCATTTAAACAAAACAACTTGCCTTATATAAAATATACGGAGTACTCTATAACAAAATCATCTTCCCGCTTTCCCGTGTCCCAAAATCATCTTCTCACTTCCCTTTCTTGGCATCCCAAAATAATCTTCCCGTTCCTTGGAAAACTACTAAAGAAAAAATTGTGTTACCTTGGGAGCCCACCTCCGTACAAAGTAAGGAGAATTTTCTTCACTATTGTTGTTGGATTCATATCCTTGGAAACTCTGCACAAAGAATACACTAGGTCACATTCAACAATTCACACATTATGAACTTGAGAGTTCAACTTCACGAATCTTGCACATCACACATAGACACACCTAATAAAACAGCTTCAAAACCAGAAGTATTACACTTATTCCGTCCTATTGTATGGGTCTTAGTTGTGAAACGAGGCGAAGACTGAAGATATTTGGTATATCTATTTTTTGTACTCAAGTTGATCGTACTTACTGGCCAAGTTTTTGACATCACATCATTCGATTGTGCATGAAAGCCACACATTCATGAGTCCCTTGTCTTTGGCTGTGTTGCCGGGTTTTGTTCTTGTTTTGTATGTTTTTGCAGGTTAAAAGAGTGTGGATACACCTAGATACCTCAAAAATGGGACAAGGTACACTTCAGTGACTTTACGAGGGCTAAAGATCATGTTTCGGGGTTGCTTTAGTGACCGGGGGATGGACCAACAAAGTGGTCAGTGGATCAACCACTGCGGCACTGCCATGGTCACTACCAGGAATCTTCAAACCCAATCAAAGCTTGAACCACGACCATGGTCGATCCCGTTTTCATACCCCTCTTTGCAATCATCTCACTTAGCCACGGCCGAAACCAATGGGTGTGGTCGCAAGCTGTAATGACCTCAGATTCACATCTTTTTTTGTTTAAAGTCCAACAACAATATAGAGGAGCTTTTGGGTCTCAAACCTTAAGCCCTATCTGAAATCATCCGTAGTTTTGTCCCTAAGGTCTCCTAAACCCTTAGTAGCTTACATGTTTCACTTGGCATCCTCTAACCCAGACTTATAATACATTCATAGCTTAGATCTTCTCATTCTTTACATTTCCTCACTTCTCATTGCCCCTAACCATTTGTTAGGCATTGATTTACATTAAAAATCTTTGCATTAGTGCTTAAGTGCATGTCATGTTCAATTCTAAACCAACAGAATATACCTGAGGGTGCAACATCTGTACTCTACCACTATGCTCGCTCTTTTCATTTCCCGTCCAATTTTTTACTCACTTGATCCCATAATTATATTCTTGTTTTGATTTGACTCACTTTTTGATCAAGTAAAAATTAGGTAACTGAAATTTGTAAATTGGAGAAACAAATTCAACTATGGATTTTTTTTGTTTTGAAAAGTATAGTGAAACAAAATCTTGGGACAAGCCAAATAGGAAAAGAAGGAAAAAAACTATTGGTGGAACCGTGGAGGGAGTACTTTGTTAGAGGACTTGGAGACTAACGACACACCAAAGTTCTACTTATCATTGGTCTCGTTTGGAATCAACGTTAGAGGTTAGCGTTAGCGTTTTGAAAAGGCTATCCGACGGTAGCCTTTAGCATTAGCGTTTTTAGAATTAATCTGCACCATTAAATTTTTATCCAAAATGCTAACGCTAATCGAAAATGTTGTTCCCAAACAAGGCCATAGTATTCGAACCAATGTTTTTTGTAATATTCAACTTAATAAACTAAAAAATAACACACACAAACATACATTTTAATACTACTTCAATAATAGTGGATCCATTTCCAATAAACTACACGTACCTTTTAAAGTTCTATTGAGGAGAGGGGGTTGAACTATCTACTTATGATTTTTTTAAATAAATGAAGATACAATATGAATTTTGACAAATGAATAGGAACATGCAGAATGAAACAAAGGATATACCATTTTTCGAACGAAGAATACAAGATCATCCTCCTGGCGGCCTCTGGGTTCCTTGCCACATATGAAATACAAATCCAGCACTTCATGCCAGAACAGTGGATCCATTTCCACATCTGATGGCTCTTCCTCCTCAAGAATGGTTTTCCCTAAGAACTTTGAGTGTGTCTTCACCATACTCAGCAACTCAAACCTTTATGACAGATACTGAGTTAGCAAAGGAAATTGTTTAAAAAAAACAACAGTTGATGACAGAGTAAGGCCAGCATCCCTCATATCCTTTTCTAACTCGAGGAAATATCACTCGAAGTCTTCAATTGTCTTACAGTTCTCCCTTTGCTTGTAAACCAAGTATGCATTAAGTTTAAATACTATTTAGAAATCATGGTATTCCAATCCTAAGCTTATAAATCAAGTAAGCATTAATCTTGATATACAAATACCTTATTACAATGAGGCATTTTTACAAGCGTTAGTTCTTTCCTCTGTCACGCAGACTCATTTAGTATCAAATTTGATTTCATATTACCACTATGTTTGGTTCAAGGAATTTGAGAGGGAAATGAAAAGAAAATGAGAAGGAAAACATTTTTCTTGTTTGGTTAGAGAGGAAAAGAAAAGAAAAGTGGAAGGAAAAGAAGATAAGAAGGCAAAATGTACTAAGAGGAGGGAAAACCAAATTCCTCCCATTTTAGTGAGAAAACTAAGGGAAAACCATTTTCTTTTATTTTTCCTTCCAAATTCCTTGAACCAAACATAGTGTACAAATCATGACTTGCAATTCATTACTATTTGACACATCAGTCCACTATGATTGATTCTGAAAAGTAATACTAACCTTCCTATGGAGGATGAAAAAAGTTCCAATGGTTCATATAGAATACAATTCGGTTTGTATTCCCAGTCATAACAGATCAAATATGAAAATAGGAACGCGCAACATGTGAATTCAATCCAAGCTTTCAGTTTTCTGTACAAACTTTCAACTGCCAAAACTACTAAGGTGTTCAAGCCCTAATCGGAAAATGAGTTAGAGCTATTCGATAGAATCGAGGTGAAATGCGAAAAAAAACTCACCGACTAGGGGTTTGGCCTCCTCCTCCGGGTTTGCCTGGCAGCATTTTATTTGAAGATTGAATGAAGATAATTTTATTTACGCATTATCCAGAAGATTGAATTGCAGATTGAAGAAGCTTCTAAAAAAGTCTCGGCAATCAATATGAAATCTCAAGATGCAGACTTCACTTAGAGTTGGAAATCGCGTGAGTTAGGATGGATTCTTAGAGAGAGCAATAAAGCGGAGTAGATGGCGGCAAGTAGCAGCAGTCTCTCCTTCCTTCGCCCCTCTCTCCCTCTCAAGACGAGTTAACCATAATTAGGAATTCCTATAATTTGATCTTTACGCAAAGGATTTTTGACATCTTGGACCAAAAGTGGTTCTTACCTTGGCACCCCCCGGCTCAGGTGCTCCCTCCCTCCATTGGAGGCATAGCCTGTAGGCCTTGACCATGGTAATTATCAAGTTTAAAGTCTTTGTAAGTGTCATATACATGTTTCAGTCTTTCTTATCAACATGTGATTAAAGTCGAATATATCTCCTCTCTGGTGATTGTCCGATAAGTTCTCAAGACCCTAAGAGGGGGTTCACTCTTTTTTGGTATTTAATGGGGACATAGTCTCTGAGGTGTGGTGATTTAAGAAGGATTGTCGTTTCAAAAACACCAATGTCATACTTTCTCTGTCTCTAATCATTTAACTATTACGCAAAACGAAGTAAAATTTTCAAGTTTTTTTAATTCATTTTATTTAAAGATTGATATATAAATAAAAAATAAAATTCACATATTTAAAAAGTACATCAAAAGTTCTACAAAATAAGAGTTGACAAGAATATTTTATTTTATCAAATAGTCAATGAAAACATACAAATAAACAAAAATTCCCATGATTTTTAAATAGTAAAATATGTAAATCATTTAGGGATGAAGGAAGTAATAAACATAGATGTCTATTGTTTTCTTTATAAAAAATGCAGTTTGTACTTTGTACCAATTGTACACCCCCTATTTATATTAAACTAGATCAAATTAAACATGCGTATATAAAATGCTTTGTTCAAAAAGTGTCATTTATGTCATTTTATACCATGTAATGTGGGGTCCATAATCATCGGAGACGGCGGTTGAATGTAGATGGGGTCATGGGGGCGGTGGACAATGTGACAGAGGTTAGGTGGTAGCGGGTGATAGTAGATTAGTAGTAGAAATAAGTTGTGAACAATGGTGAATAATTATGTGTAATACCATACATATAGTCCATATTTGTGAATATACAACATGTGTTTCATAGTTTTGGTGTGCCTTTTATATAGTGTAATTTACTATAACAAGTTATATGGTGCAATAAGACATTTATGATCATCTGTACGTCCTATTAAGCATTTACAAGCATTATGTTATTGTTCACTAGCAATAGTTCTACACATCTTTTAGACATGTAGGTGGTTCCCGGGACGAAAGTTGCCGGCAGTCACCAAAGTGGGGTCTGCGACTGTAGAGGAATGCCAGGTGTCAGCGGCATGAACCTACGACGGTGGACGAAAGCTAGTTAAGCGTTGGTGGCTCATGGCTGACAGTTCTAAGTGGTATATAGAGATCATCTGTTGCGATGAGCAGCGGGTAGCGACGATAGTAGTTGTGTACAACGATATACTCTGTTTATCCCAAAATAATCTTCTCATTTTCGATTGCGATGTTAATTGATTTGTTCGATTCAATTTATTTAATTATTAGTACAAAACTTAAAAATAAAACTTATATTTTTTTTAAAAATTAAAATTATATAAAACTAATGAATTAAAATACCAAGTTTATAAAAAAATGGAGCACTCAAACGATTATTTTAGTACAAAATTAGTACACTGTAAGTATTTGTGAACATACAACAAGGCATTTTATAGGCCAAGAACGCTTTATTGTTTTGTACTCCGTACATTTTGTTTAAAGAGTAAATTTCATAAATGATTTCTAACTATACGTGATTTTCTATACTTAATCTTTAATTATAAGATATTATATAAATAGTCTTCAATTTTTGAAAAAATATTTTATAAATCGTTCTTTTGACCAAATATGACAAAACATTCTTTCCACATAGTCTCTGAAGGATCGATTGTGAAATACAGTAACTATATATGATTTTTCATATTTAGTCTTTAATTATAAGATATTATATAAATGGCCTTCAATTTTTGAAAAATATTTCATAAATCGTTCTTTTGACCAAATATGACAACATTTTTTCCAATAACACGTTTGTGTAAGGAATAAACTTAGGGTTACACAAAAATAGGGTACTCCATTTGTACACGAAGCAAACACGGACAGTGTTTGTGGATCACAGACACTAAATTTCTGTGTTTGTCTTTGTTTGCCTGGTGTACAAATGGAATATTTTGTACCCCTAGCATGCCCCTTGTATGAGTTATGTGTGAGACTTATTTTTAAAAAAATTGGATACTTATGTTAGCTATTTGAAGTTTTAAGACTGAAAAAAATGTAAACCGAAAAAACTTGTCTTCAAAAAACGTGATTATCAAACATTTTGATATCCACATTTTAGCCCAAAAAATTACTCATCAAACACTTCTAATAGTCGTGACTAATCATTACACCCAAAAAAATTCAAACAAAAAACGGCTTCAAATTTTGTGTGCCAAACAACATCATAGTGTCGAAGGCGTCGTGAAGAGATGTTGTAAGTTGTAACACCGATAAGTGTTGGACCCAAAAACAGATCTACATATGAAATCAGTCATACATAGGATAGGTGAATGAGCTTGTAGCTAGAAGAAGTAAAGCCACCGTGTTTATTCAATATGAAAAAACAAGCCATCACAACCATATTATATGACTCAGTTGTTTCAATATCAGCTAACAAAACTTGAGCCACCATGTTTTTTCCCCTGCAATGAAAATATATATCCAAGAACTTACCAAATGCAAGCTCATTGAAAGTTTTTCGTAATCATCGTGTCTTAGCGCACATACAGTACCAATCAATTCTGGGCATGCAACGGAGAGTAATGGGTACTGCCAAAAACATGCAAAATCAGTGCCATCCATATTGTGAGAATCACGGATGATTTGGCACGAATGTCTTCTTGAACTGCATTAACACTTGCTTTCAAGCATTCCATCATCTTCCACATCAAGAACTCCACCACAGATCGTACAGCTCCGAATGTCACTCTTCCACTGACATCAAGCACGAATCTCCTGTTTCTTGGCACTGCCAATGTTGACGACACACTACTCAGCCATCCATTACTTCCCAGATCGATTACAGGTTTGCTCCTCCCTTTCACTTTTCCTGAAGTTGAAGATTCATGCTCAGTGACCTTGTTGTTTGCCAAGGCTTGGTGAGATGTCTTCACCAGAGTTTCAACTGCTCCATTGCAGAGGGAAACCATAATGTCCCTCACTTCAGACCGATGCATAGGATTAGTCATACCAGAGAACAAATCATCGTAAAAGTTAATGTGCATTGTCTTGTCAAGATAAACAGCAACAGCCGTGCTAACAAAGGTTTGTGTAATGTTGGCTATTATCAATTTAAGCCGATCATCGCACAATAAATCTACCCACCCTGGGGAATTCGACGAATGGGATTGGCTGTTAGAGCAAACCTCCATCACCTCCATAACCAAATTCTTGGCAAAGCTACCAACAACCACAGAAACAAAAGCAGTCCCGGAACCACTGATCAGCTTATCCATAAGCTTATCTGAAAAAGATGAACTTTTTCCTACCTCTTCAATCCCACTCTCTTTCTTTTGCAGTTTATAGCCTTTCAAAACCCCAGTTGTTACACATTCTGAAACTCTACACACAGACTGGGACAGTTCATCAGATCGAACAATTTTCGACAATTGCTTCAAACTATTGGGGATTTCATCGGATTCGGAGAGCAGAAACTCCTTCAAATCCCTGGAGATGACGCTGAAAGCCTCGGCAGATTCAGACACCATTTCTCCCACGGATAACAGAGCTCCCAAGAGCTTCACGATTCTCTTCCTCTTTCTCACAATAGACGGGGAATTATAAACTCTGTACGCACCATAAGACGAAGCTCCAATGATTCCAAGTGCAATCAACCATCTCTTCTTCTTAGGGTTCAACATCGAATCTCGCCTTGAGCAGTTGATGACGATACGAGCTCGAAATCAACAAAACTCGAGTCAAAAAGTCTGAAATTTTGGGAAAATGTGTGGATCAATCAAAGAACTAGGTTTTCAACATCGCGAAAGCGGACATGGGTGGAAATTCTTAGATTCGGGAGGGCTAAGATGGATGTCGGATGTGTATTTGAGAAAGACGAACCTGTTTACGAGGAGTCCATTGAAGGGGAGGAGATTCAGACGGAAAGAAGACGGAGATCTCGAGCTTGTTCCTGCCTTGATTTGACAATTCATGACTGACTCTTGGTTTATCATAATCCATTTTAATATTTTAATGACAATTTATTAGTCAAGTGACAACTCTTTTTTTTTTTTTGATGAAAGTGACGACTCTTGATTTCTGGTACTTTAATTTTTTATATCAACTCTTGATTTATTATACACATTATCTAATTTAATTGTATTTGCTAAAAATTTATCTAATACTCCCTCCGTACCCCTGTATTTGTCCATTTTCATTTTTACACAACATCCAATGCACTTCTTTAATTCATTTTATCTTGTAATTTGTATATTAAAAAATTATAAAAATTATATATTAATAATCTATATGTTAAGACAAATCAAACAAGATCACACATGACTATATTTAGGCTTACACATTGAGAGAATTTGATGAGTCAAAGTGCTTAGATGAACAGTTCCAAAAGTCAAATGTGGACAAATACAGGGGGACGGAGGAAGTATTTATAA